TTAAAAAATTTAATCTTAAAATAAACGATAAATAGACCCTAAAATACATGACCACAGAGAAAAATTAAGAGGTTGAAATATACATAGTTCACTGTCATTAGCATGTTGGCAAAAACAAACAACAAAATGTTAGGTTGAAAGGTAGCCAACTATCCCTCCCAGCGTCTGATGTAAGCGCTTATGTCAATCACAAACAAACAAATTTTTCGGTTTTAAATTTTTAATTCCCTATCATTTTGAAGTACGTCATTTTATCCGTAACTAATTCAACGATAAAAAAAATCAATGATTTACTTATTTGATTGGAAAAGAATTTGATTTTTTTTAAATGTAATTTTAAAATTTATTATTATTTTATTAGTAATAAAATAAATAAAAATAAAAATGAAATTCCCGAACCAAATTATTTTTTGAATTGATTTATATCTTTCCTCACATGTTTTACAATCATTGGATATTGCATGTAAGTTTGGCGTGGAATATGGCGTGTATAGGAACATTGTAATTAGTTTATTTTTCTTAAAAAAAATTGTAACTAGAGTTATTTTGATTTTTTAACATAATTTGTCACCTTTTTTTTTTTTTTAAGATTTAGGAGTACAATTCAAAATTTATTATTTTCATATATAAAATTCGAAAAACAAATGTTTGTCGTATGAAACAAGTTCCTTTATTTTTTACTCTTGCATAGGAGAGTTGTTTTCCCTTTTTTTCCTCAAATTAAACATTTTTTTTTCTCTCTCCGAACATCAATAACATATAAATTTATAGCATTCTAATTTGATCAAGTGCCTTACACTTGCAAAACTAATAAACTTATAATACAAATTACCCTAACAATAAAATTCAAATTCCTAAAAGTAATTAGCTTATAAAATTAATCACATACTAAATCATAAAATCTCAAAAACATTATTATTGAATTTGTGTCATCTTCTACCACAAGATAAAACTCACTTTGAACCAGGCCCTTCGGGATAAGTAGGTTCATGTTCCCCTCTCTAGGGTAAGGGCTCGAGTCGGTCTCATGACAAAATGTTCAAAAAAAGAAAAAAAAAAAGGATAAAACTCACTTTATTTGACTAATGTTAGAACACGTGACTGAATTAAAAATTCAAATGACTATGGAATAAATTAAACTCATGATAATTATATGGGTATTTTTGCCGATGTCATCAAGGGGCTTCCCTCCCAGAGCTTGCAAGGTCGACATCAAAATTGAAGTGTCTGTTGGTCAATGACCTCACTGCCCTCCACTTTATATCACGTTCATTTTATTTACAAGGTGATTATTTCGTCCGACTAATCTGGATCTGACTCGAGTCGCGTACATAAAAATGAGTGATATTATTGTCTTTTAAATAGGTAAATATGGTTGTAGTAGTAATAAATAAATTACTCCAATAAAGTCCCCATATTTGGTGGGATTGTTAGGGGAAGGGTAGTCGGCGCCACGGAGCACAGTACGTAGCGCTACCGTCTCCGGTCAAAAGTCAGCAAAGAGAC